CTCTCAGCCTCTTAAAGGGGCAGTTCACAGTTACTCTCCCTCAAGTGTTTCTTTATCCTGTTAAACACATAAGGAAGATATTTAGAAGAATGCTGCAAACCTGTAACCATTGACTTTCATACTATTTGCTCTTTCAATGAAAGTCAATGGTTACCGGTTCACAACATTCTTCAAATGATCTTCTTTTGTGATGAAGTCTTTGTAAAGAGACTCAAACAGGTCTGGAACCAGTGAGGATGAATAACTGATGACAGAACAGACGTGTTCGGGTGAACTGGACCTTTAGATGGTGTTTTAGCCGCTCTGAACTGAAGTGAGTCACTAGAGTGATTCAGTTAAACGACTCTCAGAACTGACTCACTGGATTGTGTTCAAACATCAGGCATCAGATCTCGTCAGGTGTGTGTTATTATGTGTGGAGCAGTGATTTAAACACACACACACACACACACACACAGGTCTGCTGCCTGACGTGGCCGTGTGCAGATTCACTGTAGACGCAGGAGGATGACGGGTCTGATGACGGTGTGTGTGACAGCACATACTTCAGCTGGAGTGTGTGTTAAAGCTTTTCAAGTCCCAGCATGTGTGTCAGCGCTGCGGTCCTGCTCTTGTGCACATGCTGTCAGTGTGAGATTCAGATCTATATGTGTGCGTGCGTGTGCGTGCGTGTGTGTCTGTGTGTGCGCACTGTATTTTAAGCGTTGACGTTTCTCCATCAGGTTCTGGACGATTCGAGGAAGCCCTTACTCTCAGGTGTGATCACCTTCTGCTTTATCATGCGCTCAGTGCTGCTCTCTCTGTGTGTGTGCATGCGTGTATATATGTGTGTGTGTGTTTGTGTGTGTAAGTTTGTGTGTGTTTCCCTTACTTGTTGGGGTGCTGTAGCACACAGATCTGCTTGTGTGTGTGTGTGTGTGTGTGTGTGTGTGTGTGTGTATGTGTGTGTGTAATAAGAACAATTTAAAGGACATTTTCGAGTACAGGTTTAGTGCTGTATCGAAACTTTTACTCCACTATTTTCCTTTAACCTGCAGTCACTACTTTTTACCTTATTTTTTCTGGTCTGTGGAGATTGGCTATTTAAAAAAATCAGTCCTGCAATTCCTGTTCAATCAAATAGCACATCAAAAGTAAGTCGCTTCAGACTCAATACCTGAAGATATGGGCACTTTATTAATGCAGCAAATAATATGGAAGTATTAAGAGTGTTCAAGAAGATGTCCAAAATCATGACCCAGGAAATGTTTAGACTGCATGTCACTAATGAAAAGATGGTAGATGTTTACTGTATGTCTTTCGAAATTAATTCTGGGTTAACCTATAGAAATTGAGATAGAAGAACATATTTTAAAACAACCTTGATTCTTGCACAAACTGTTTATTTACAAAAACTTTTTTTTTTTTTTTTTACTTGACCATTGACATTTTACTGGTGTGTGACAAATTTTTTT